GCACATCCAGAAAGGCATATAGCTTTCCTTCTGTTTGTCAATTCTTAGTGTTAATAATGAATTCTCATAATGAGCCAAATGCCCTTTCTCTCCTCTGGCAATGTTCGGTGTATATGCTAATGGCTCCTGCAGACTAAATGCGACCGAGAGATCTGTCTGATCACATCACAGGAAATGAATGACAAAGCTCTGCCAATCCAGTGAGTTGGCCCACCAGTTCACAACGGACAGGGCAGTTCAGTGTATGGCGATCAAAAGACCTCCTTACATGCAGTGGTGATAGGGGGCTCACAGCTGCACATGATCCCTGATTTGCACACTGGACAAGGTCTTGCATGATGAGAGTTCAATAGACCAAAGGTGGAGGAGTCTGTGCTTTATACTGTGTGGGTCCAGGGTTCAATGTTCCAAGACATTCAGAGCATGTTGCTCTCTCGAGACTGAAGGATGCCTACCTTCAGTCTCGAGAAGGTAGAAATCACCTGCTCTTGACAGGTGATGGCAAAGCTCCTTTTCTGCTTGTGCTCTTGGTGTACTACTGTCAGCAGTCAGAACAGACAAAATCAGGCAAAATGGGCATTGACATATATTAAAAAGGCAGCGGGAAAAGACCTGCTTGTGCGCATGATACTCTATTTCTGTTTTGGTCTCTTGTCAGGGGTATGGTGGTCCCATGGGCCATGTACACATTCAACATGCCACTTGATGTTGCCACCATCAAGTAGTGTTCTTGTCCCTCTGAACCTGCCTTTCTCCAAAGGTGACCCGTTTCCTCATGCCAAGGACTCTCTTTGAAATGTCTCCAGAGAAAGCAGTTAAGAATGAGATTGTTGCCTTCTGTATCGAAACTTTTCTTGTTCCCACCTCCTCCCATCAGCCCATACACCAGAAGCTTTAAGGTTCTCTTCCATGCAGCTGAGGACCTGGGTTATAACCCATGAACAATCACGCTAGAACAAAGCTCAAGAGTCCATTTTCTCTTAGTTGGAAAAGCAACACGCAGAAGCACAGAAAGGACCTCTCTTCTTGTCTTTCTTGTTTTGGTACATGGTGAATGAGACTAACGCAGTGAAAAACTTCACCAGATGCTAACAGGGCCCCTTTGCTTTGACTGACCCTCATTTGGCTGCCCTGAGAACTTAATGACAACAATATTTACAGTTATTAGAAGACGTAATTAGTAGGCAAATGGAGATCATTCTAATAATGCGTGAAGTCTTGAACTACCTGCTGTTGCCTGCAGAAGATTTGCTGTGTAAGGCAGCCCTGCGTGTCCTCATTTAATTAGTTACCTATTAGGATTATTGTGCTGCAAGAGACAGGTTATAGGAATCGTTGTTATCATAAATGGAAGGTTTGCTGAAGTTCAACAAGAGTCTGAGGTTTGGCTAAAGGGGGTGTTCAGCACCCTGTGGCTCAAATAGGGGTGGAAGTCAGAGAGTTGACTCCCCAGCCCATCTGAAGGCTTCTTGAAATATGTCAAGAGGTGTGGGGAGGACAGCCTGGCCGGGCAAAGTCCTCACAGAATATTTTGCAATTAAAAGGGAGTGCAGAGGGAATTGGCAGCAAGCAATACAAGGTTTTGGGAACCTTGCAATTCTTTAAGCCTAGTTATTAAGGAATCAATTGGAAAGGTCATTGGTAGCTCACAATATCTGATAGCCATCATTGCCATAAGCATGCAGTCAGTGGTGGACTTCAGTGGCTTGTGGCAACTAAGAGCACTAGACTCCGCTTATTTTAATTACTTATTTAAAACATTTCTGCCCCACTTTTTTCCTGAAGAAGGTCCCAAGGTAACCTACATCATTAAAAGACAATATTTATATCTAAAAATGATAAGTATACAAATACTAAAAAGGGTCAGACAAATATCAAAGTAAATGATGATAAACAAAAGCAATACTAAAAACAGATTCAAAGTAGTAAGGCACAATCATCCATTTAAAAACCTCACTCAGGCAGCCGTTCACTGAGGGAAAGCTTGCCTGAAGAGAAAGGCCTTTTTGCCTGCTTGCGGAAGGACAGCAAAGAGGGGGCCAGGCTGGCCTCCAGTGGGAGGGAGTTCCAGAGTCTGGGAGCAGCAACAGAGAAGGGCCTCTTCTGTGTTATGTCAGGGTGGCAGGATCAAAAGATCATCTCCAGATGATTTTAATACCTAAGCAAGCTCATAAAGGGAGAGGTGGGCCTTGAGATACCTTGGACCCAAACTGTTTAGGACTTGATAGCTTAGAACCAGCACTTTGAATTGTGCCCAGAAATGGATCGGCAGCCAATGGAGCTGCTGTACTGGGGTGGGTGGGTTATGTGATCCCTCTAACCAGCTCCAGTTAGAAATCTTGCTGCCATGTTTTGGATCTGCTGAAGTTTCTGGACACTTCCCAGAGGAAGCCCCATGTAGAGCATGTTACGGTAATCCTCCATATATTGTATGTCTTCGTATAATCCTTTCAACCTTCATGGTAACAATGGATCTTATCAGTTATCTATCCTCTAAAACATTCCCCCTTCCCCTGTTTTGGTCTTAAGCTGCCTGACCACAGCTTTCTGTGGGTGGCCCCCACTGTTGGTATTTTGAGAGGCTGAATAATTTTTCTCTCCTCACTCCCTCACACCGTTTATCAACACATCCTTGCTCAGCTGCCTCTTTTCTTGAGATAAAATGCTTAATTTATACCTGTCAGCCCAAGCTAAGAGAACTGTGTGCAGATACACGAGGGGAATGTTAATTCAGAGAAGCAAAATCTGGCTATTTATTTATTCGATTCCAGATGTGTATGTGTGTGTGGGACACCAGTTCCCATAAGCCCTGATCATTGGTCATAATGGCTTGAGAGGCTACTTTTTTTTATAGCAACAGACAAGAGTTTTCCACAACCTGTCTTCATTCATTAGGTCAAGCCTAAAAGATCTAGAGAGAATCTCTGAGGTGTACCACCTCCTTCCATTAATGTGTTATCAGAGTTTCCCTTTGAAATGTCTGTGTTTCATAGTCCGTTCATCACCTTGCTTCTGGTGGCCACCAAGTGCTCCTATGCTTCAACGTACTGGTCCATTTCTGATCTTCAGCACCCAAAATGAAGCAACAACCAAACCAGCCTCACATGTCCTTTCAGAAAATTTGTCACGGACACAAAACATTACATGAATTTCACTGTGCTTGTGTGAAAAAACAACAACACTGAAAAGAGAAGCCTGAGAAGCTCTCTTTCTGTAGGCGGGTGTGTAGAGAAAACCCACATTCCTTCTGGGAAATAAATGAAGCAGACTCTGTTGAGTATATAACCATTATGGACAGAGAAAAAGAGCAACCATCTCCTCCTGGGTTGCTAGTAGCAACCTATAGAGAGTTGGGTTTTTTAGGGGGGAAACATACGTAAATAGGAAATTACATATCACAAAGGCCTTGGCGTAATTAATGATATTTATATGAAACAAATGAGCAATGTTCTTGAAATGTACCAAAATCTTTCCAGAGTGAGGGACGCAGCTGTTGTAAGAAGAGGGAGATAGTAGTTTAATTTATCTGTTTTTTAAATTAGCCACTTAGCTTGCCCTCTTCTGGGCTAACCAACTTTCTCAGTAATTTTAGCCATTTGCTCATAAGGACAACGGAACCTGAGAAATCCTGACAGATATAAGTTTATAAGATATAAGATTATTCACCCAGAGCAATCCCAGGAGTGGCTGTGTCACAGGACACAGAAGGTTGAACCCATGCAAACGGGCCCTAGAAGATGGTGGAGGTGGCTAGTGTGGGAAAAGAAATGAAAAATTCCTTATGGGAAGAAACATCTCAAAGGGAAGACAGCCTTAAGGCCATTCAAGATCCATGACCCAGGGGATGAAGAAAATGAAAAGGCATCCCAGGGATTTCCCAAGAGGATAAGTGAGCTATGCAACAGAGCAACAGGGTTCAGGCGCCCGCTGGTCATAAAACTCAAGTTTTCTGTCTGCAAAACAGGAACAGAGACAATCAATCTCCTAGTGTAGTGGGAGCAAGTGGGATAAGAAACAATTGCCATATATACATGTTTGACAATGCTATGCAAGTGATTAATAGCAATAAAGATGAATCAGTGATGAAGCTCTTTGCACTGCAACAGTCCCTCTATATTCATCTGCCAGGGATCAAAACTTAATCAATGGTTCTGCCTCACCTACCCTCTTAACTTTGCCTCTAATCCTGGAAAGACGCAAAAGGTCCTTCTAATGATTCTCATTCCTCTCTCTCTCTCTCTCTCTCTCACTTCATTCTCACCTCATCATGCACTTCTTGCACTCAGGACGTGCCCATTGAAACACAATCTTCCTTTTTTGTATGTTACCGAAAGAGATTCATTATGGCAGATTCCAAAACCACCTATCCACCTGTCCATCTGTCCCAAAAGGAATTAATTCCCTGCAATTGTACAAAAGAAGGGATCGTTTTCTATTGGAAGAGAACCTGCAAGAATGAAAATCCCTCAAGATGTTTCCATTGGAAAAAAAATCAACAAGAGAGCATCTCTGCAGATTTTAAAATCTGGAGGTCTTCCACAGATGAGTTCCTCCACCTCTTCTTTCTTGAGAAGATTTCTAAGTATCAGGGCTGCATTCTGAATGCCTACAACCTCATCTGATTTTGAAAGCCAAGCAGGAATCTCTAGGTAGAGGCTAAGAAGGAATCTTGCCTCAAACTGAAGAGCCAATGTTGCTGCCGGCCAGAACTTGCACTGTAAGACTGGATGGACCTAAAAGGAAGAACATGACCCCATAGAAAGCAGCTTTCTCTTTTTTCCAAGTAAAATGTATTCACTTCTTCTCTCTGGGGATATTATTGTCCAACATACAGCTTTTTCCTCTTTGAATGGGTCAATTCACACTCCTTCTGCCTTTGTGCATTCCCTCACTTAAAAAAAAACTTTATCCCTCCTATCTAACATGGTGCATTTTATACTTTCAATGCAGAATTGCTACTTTGAACAGAGCAGGTAAAATATGAAGAATATGTTTTTTACCTTCAAGCCATAAGAGAAGAGTATCACCCACAAGGACCGTGATGTTTTCTCCTGCTCTGTTGTATATCCACCACTTTCCACGGTTGGGGTCCAGACTGCCTCTCTGCCTCTCAGTCTTCCAAAGCGGCGAGAGGGCTTCCCATGTCCACCAACTCCCGGATCGCCAACCAGAAAGCCAACTTCATCTCTTGGATCAACTCAAGCAAGAAGAGGTCATGACAGGAACACTTCTGGGACCTTCTGCTCGCCCCCGGCCAAGAAGCAGAGGCTCCAACGTCAAGCAGAAACTCCCCAAATAAGGCAGGTGACGGGGTGTGAATGCCAACCTTGTAGGTTTTCCCTTTACCTCTTTCCTGGAGAGAGTAAAAAAGAGCTTCAACTCTTTCAAAGAGCGGCATGCATTGGGCAAAGCTTCACGTTGGTGCCTCAAGAGCGAGAGGCGGGTTCTTGAACTTCCCCAGTGGACTGGCTTGAGGGTCTCAGCAAGCAAACGAGGTTCAACTCCATTTTGGGGGCGGTAGGGATAAAGTGGGGGGGGTAAAAGATAAGAAGGGAGAGAAAGGGGTTTTTCTCAGCTGATGAGCCAGCCCTTTGGACACCGGTCCTGAAGGGCTTCGGAAGCAGCGGGAGCCTCGGAGGAGATCCACCTCCCCGTCAAGAGGCGGAGGGCTGGGCGGAGAAGGCAGCTCGGCGGGCGGCGCGCCTCTCTTCAGCACCACGGCGGCGGCGGCGGCGGTCGGGAAGCGGTTTCAGCACCAGCGGAGCGGACAGCTCCTGGCCAGAAGGAACGAGGAGGAGGAGGGAAGGAGACGCGGCGAGACTCCGGAGGGGCAGGAGAGAGAGAGAGAGAGAGAGAGGGGGAGTCTCTCTCTCTCTCTGTGTGTGTGTCTGTCTGTCTGTCTCTAGATGTGTCGTGTTGCATGTTCAGAAGGAAAAGCTGACCTGCCTGACACTGGCACCACTTCTGGGAAGCCAGTGGTGCATAACTCTCTTCAAGGAAAGGGCTCAGCTGCCTCCCTCTTCTTTCAACATCCCTGGGATGAGAGAAGAGGGGAGGAGGAAGAAAAGAAGTAAGTAAGTAAGTTTGAGATCAAGGCAAATTGCAGAGAAGGAAAAGGTGTTGGATAAAGAAAGGATTTGCTATCTGAAACCCCAAGGGCTATGGAAATTAAATAACATTGATCATACACAGATAAAGTACCATGATTCCATTGTTTTCACTACTGTTGAAAAATAATACAAATACAAATAAATACAAATATATTTATTGTCATTGTAAGTCTATGCATAGTATGCACATACAACGAAATTCACACAGAGACCCAGAGACCAGACCCACATGCATGCACATAAAAAAACCCCCCAAACACTCCCCACCCATTAAAAATGCCCCACTAAAAATACAAACATCTACACCGCAGACTAAGTAACACTCTCCAACTGTTCACTACTGGTGGTCTTTAAGTTCATTATTAAGTGCAATTATAGCTCTGGGATAAAACTATTCAGAAAACGTGTGGTCCTAGTCTTAATTGTTCTGTATCTTCTGCCAGATGGCAACAGTTTAAAAAAGCTGTAAGCAGGATGGGCAGAGTCTCTCAGGATGTTGTGTGACTTCCTCAGACAGCGGGATGTGAAGATGTCATCCAGGGTTGATAGCTGGAGCCCGATGATATTCTGGGCAATTTTAATGGTTCTCTGTTGAGCTTTTTTGTTCTCTACAGAGCTACTCCCAAACCATGCCAGAATGCCTTAAGTTAGAACATTCTCAATGTATCTGCTGAGAGTTAATAAAGAATTGTATGTATGCACGTTGAAGAGTTTATATTCTGATGAGTGCATCAATCTCATTTTACTTTGGTAGCTTGATTGTGAGTTGATCAGGTTTACCAAGACCACAACCTGGAGCTGCCTGTGCGGTCTGGAACTGTGGCTACACCTCAGCCACAATTGCCGTTTTTACTTAGTCCTCCAACTGCTGATGCTGCATTTCCTGTTTGTGAAGCCAGTATGCAGCTTCCAACAGGGGACTAGTTGTGAAGCGCTACTGGTCAGGTATGTAAGGAAAGGCTTTTGCCCAGGTCACTCCCAAGTGCTGGAACGCACCCTCTTTGGTGTTTCTCTTCCCAAGGCTCGTTGTGAACCATTACTGGTCAGGTATGTAAGGAATGGCTTTTGCCCAGGTCACTCCCAAGCACTGGAACGCACCCTCTTTGGTGTTTCTCTTTGTCCTCATGCTCTCTGTGTTCATAAAGACACATCTTCTAAAATCTGGCATTTTGAACCAGTTTTTAAAAAATAGTTTGCAGATTGTTACGTTTTTATGTAGTTGTGATTATCAGTGACCAGTGGCCAGAGTGAACTTCAGGCATGAGGCATCCTCCTTATTTGGTCCATCCACCATCCCTAACCGTTGTTTATTTTTAAAATGCATGTCCACTGTCTGCTAGGTTTTAAAAGAAAGCAGATAAAAGCTTAAGTAAGGTGCTACAGATCATGCCACCCCAGTCACCACTTAGTGGCAACCTGGGCAGTGTGGTGGATACAGTGCTAAAAGATGACTCAGGAGACCTGGGTTCAAATCCCTGCCCAGCCACAGAAACTCACCAGGGAGGGTTGGAAATGAGAAACCACTCCTCAAACATCTTGACAACCCTACTGGAGTGATAGTGGCAGCGATTTCAAGCCTCTGTTCAAGGGTCTTTTTTGCAAATAAAGAAAATCTCCAGTCCTTCTGTGATTTTCTTCCTTTGCCGGGGGGGGGGGATGCTTCCACCTCTCACTTTTGACTGGTACAACAGTCCTCTTGCGCTATCCTTGGTCGTGCACAATCTATGATATTACACCAGCAGAAACGCTCTAGGGTCAGAACCTTTCTGTGTCAGGTTTCTCATCGGACTGAATGTTTGCCTGCCTTCTCCACTTCAGAGCGTCTTCATCTTTAGCCAATTCCACTCCTGGCGAGCGGGGATCTGTATTGGTCCATTTGCCCAGGGCTTCATTTAACCTTGGCCTGAGTTAGCTGAGCAGGAATTTCTCTTATTGCCCTTTCCATCTGTTCGAGATAATCTGCCTTCTGCCCAAACAGCATCCCTTCTGGGTCAATGCTTATTATATTTTTATCCCTGGTCTTAATATCCCTTTTTCTGCTTCGTTGTAAAGAAAGGTATTAATTTTGCCATGAGTAACAGGCAGCATGAAGCCCACCTATTACTGTCATTTCTTTCAGCAGCTCAGAAACTCAGAAAAACATGCCATGCGTTTAGACCTGTGTGTCTCATTTTTTGCAGTCCTATGCATTCTCTTTTGTTACATGGCATGTCTGCATGGGCACAGGTAGGGGAGACTGGCCTAGGAATGCAGCCATGCTATCATTCTGGAGAAAAAGGAAGTTCCAAGTGCTATAAGAAAGCTCAGGAAGAGGTGACACCATATTTTAGGATTGTAAAAATCACTTTGCTTTGCATTCTATTGATTTCTCCCTCATGTGTGGAAATCGATATGGTCATTTTGATTTACTAGTTCAGTAATGCAGTGGCGGCATTGAGCAGTTGCCCCTAATGGCCTTATTTCTATAGGTTGTCATGCCTTTTTCCATATCTCATTAACAAGAGTTGCTTTTACTCTTCGTGGTGGAATGCTGTAGAACCAAGCAGAAAGTCTCACTAGACTGGATCAACACCCAAAGCTGAATGTGAAGGCAGTGACATTCTCTGGTTCATTTTGTAACTGATGTTTAGAAATACTCTGGCACTGAGCATGGAGATTTCACGCAGCTGTCCTACACATTCAACCAGCAAACACTCTCTCTTGTTATGGATTTACAGGTAGCAAAAAAAAAAAAAACACACACATGAGAGAGGTAGCTTCAAGAAATCCTGAAACAGGTAAAAGAGAAAGCTAAACTAATATCGACGAGAGAAGTCCAAAGGCCGTCAAGAGGAGAGGAAGAATGTGTATTATGCCTAGGATTATGGAATCCTAGGAATGAGTTCAACGGTGGCCTAGCCCAACCCATGCAAGAAATTCACAGGAAAACATCTGTCGGAGAAGGCTACCCAAACTCTGCTTTGAAAGCCATCCATGCAGAATAATGCATTGTGGCCCAAGACCGTCCATTCCACTCTTAAGCAGCTCTTAACCCCAAGGAATTTCTTCCTAACTTTTAGCTGGAATGAATCCTCTTTCTTAGAATTCTGATCCATTCGTTTGGATCCCACTTGTCCTGAACAGCAACAGCAAACAAAGCTTGATCAACTTTTGTTTTCTTTAGCTATCCAAAGACAACCATCATATCATCACCACTCAGAAGGTTCAGCTGTTACTCCTGGACCTCTGTTGTCCACAAGAAGGGAATCACCAAAGTGGTGGACAACTGTAGCTGGTCTTGACAACCATTTTTCTGAAGACTTTTTAGCAAAATTGGAAGGGATTAGGACATCATTCCTTTTTTTAATTAAGGATTTTTTTTAAAATGGGGGCAGAAACAAGGTCCGAGGGTGTGTAAGAGAACCACACTCTCTTGTGGCTTCATTCTAGTGGCAGTGGGAAGGTCCAGTTACATGATACTTACAACTCTGAGATTTAATATAATTCAGTAGCCCTTGTGGGCACCTCCAGATTTCCTGCAGACTCTCTTTTCATAGTCTCAGCTGACAAACTTTGCAAATTTAAACAGAAACCATGGTTGCTTTTTTAAAAAAAATCATTTTCTTTGCAGTTTCAAGACAAAGCAATATAGGGAGATAAACAGCGACAGATAGATGGATAAAAATAAGTATATGTCCTTCCTATACCTCCTGAACTGTGGGCCACAACTCTTTTTATCAAATGGATTGTCTGACTGGAAACTGAGGGTCTATATTTGGCAATAAAGATTGCGGGGGAGGGGAATTAATTTCCTTTTCAAGGATAAAGCCTCATCACCAGTGCTTGTTAACAAGATCCGTAGATAACAGTGTGGCTTTTTTATCCATTTGCCATTATACCTCTGGGTGATGGATGTTCGTCAGGCTGTGTACCGTATTTCCTCGCAGAGATAAGATGTGAGTCTACAGTCCTAGCAGTAATGAAGATATCCAGATAGCCAGAAGGGAGCCATTATTCTGGATAAACGTAAGGCCTGATGCAAGAGGTGCATCCTCAGGAACAGGAAGATGT